TGAGCCACCGCGCCCGGCCACCGTTTCCTTTTTGGTGTGCTTACTTCACAGCTCCTTCCTGTATCTCTTGTTCTCAGCATACATGCCAAATGGTGATGACAAATGATGGTGTGAATTGGGGTCTCAACCTGGGGTCAGTGTGTCAGTGAATCTCATTAATGATTTGCAGTTTGTGTGTATTTGCTTATGTGCTTTGTGATGGAGAGAGGTGTCCATAGATTTCATTGATTTTTCCGGGGTGTCCATGATCCCAAAACAGTTCAAAGCACTGGCTTACTTCTTCATAGAGTCTTTGCTATTTTCTCTGACCCTTGACGTAGTATTATTTTCTTCTTGATAATCTTTTTTTGTATTTGTATTGGATTAAAAAATTATAAGGAATAAAATTAAATCTATTCATAATCTTAGTCATTACCCAAAGATAACCGCTATTTACATACCGTTAACTAGCTGTCTGCCTGTCTTTGTATCTATCCATCTATTCATTTACACACACACACACACACACACACACACACACACACACATACATACAGATTTTAAGGAATCATTCTATATGAATTCTTTGCTCAATGTAGATCAACAGCATTTTTGTTTAATTGCTGCAGAGTAGCCCAAGGTATTGACATACTTTATTTAACCAATCTTCTGTTGATGGACATAGATACTGTATTTGTATTTTAATGAGAATCAAACGTTAGGCTACAAGAGTAGAACAATAGATAGGAACCTGGGGCTTTTGTTGGTCACAGGAGCCGTCTTCCTTTGTCCTACCTTTCCAAGCCCCACATCTAAGGTTAGGCTCTGGACTTTGGGTCAGAGAGTATGTTTGCTGTCCCCAAAGCAAACAAAAGAGAACTGTACTCTCACCCTCTTCTTTAAGCCCCAAGATAGCAATGTGACTTGGCAAATCATTTCAAATTTGTAAAGAATGTAATAGTTATTTTTAAAAAAATAGGATTGATCCATTTCAAAGCAGCTTCATTTAAATCCATCCTCAATTTTCTGGGTTCAGTTAGGCCTAATTTTGTATGGTTTACCTTATAAAAAAGGTATTTATGGAAATGTTAGTGGAAACAATCTAATAATTTAATTGTTACAATGCTTGAATCATGTAGCCTGGGAGAGACTTTACCATATGTAAACATGTATAATTTCCCTCATTTTGTGTGTGTGTGTGTGTGTGTGGTCTGTATTTTCCTGTGGTTTATTGCTGAAAACAAGTGTTGCTGATTGCCTTTCTTCCTTTTATCTCTTATCTATTTACCAATGACACTACCAGATTAGAGACTACACCAGTCAACACCCTTGGGTCCCAGGATGGTAACTGTTCCCATCTGGCTGCTTGTGATTAATGGTGTTTATGTCATGGCATAAATCACATTTTGTTGTTCAATCAGCTGAGACTCTGGCCATTGAAAAAATTTACTCCACAAAAATCAATAACCAGTGATTTTTGGAAAAGAGCAATTAACAGTCATTCCCCAAGTCTATCTGTAAAGATAAATAATCAAATTACTATACTCACAAAAATAGTGCAGGCGACAAGAAATATAATCTCACAGATAAAGAATGACCTTATGTAAGGACAGGTAGGAAGCCATTTTAAGGAAGACAGAAAGCAACCAAAGCAACCCAATACCCTTTTAAAAGTCCTTACGAATGTCACCCTTTTTCACAGAGCCAGCCAACAACGAAATCTCGCAGAGCTCAAGATGAATTTTCAGAAGAGCATGGCAAATAAATTGGGTTGATAATAGCATACCGTGACTGACTTAATGCCACTCACAACTCTCTATGGACTTCAGCTACAATACAGAAAATCAATTTTATGTACTTATTTGGCTCAAGTTTGCCTGCTACCTTATTGTCGCTAGGAAAATGTATAAAATCTAAATAAATAAATTAGCCAAGATGATGACATTTTATGTAAAAGAAAATGAAAGACTGCTCTTTTGGGAAGGAATAGAGCTAAGATAAGTCTTACATGCCTCATTTTGTGGGAAATATTATGTGAGCCGTTCAAATGATGGTGTTGACCATGTGTAGCCACATTCCTAAATAGACTGAGGTAAGGTCAGTAGTCCTGATTCGACTATAGTTTATTTCACGTGCCTTGGGTGAGTGCTTTGGGATGTGGCTCACACAGCCTGTTTGTGCTGCAGTTGCCGCTGCTTTTGTGAACAGCCCAGTGTTTTTGCTCAAATTGGAGCACGCCTCACTGATTCCTGCCTGCAACTTGCTTCTTAGGAATCCGTGGCTGCAACTTACATTTCAGGAATTCAAGTTATACCACTTTTGCATCTTTACCAAGAGCCTCGGCAAAGTGGAATTCTCTGTGAGAAAGTGAAGACTTCCCTTTGATACTTTATTTATAAAGATAGTCAGCATCCTTGTTTCATTAGTAAGCCAGCGACTCTCTGAATATTCACAAGCATAACCCAATAAAGAAGGAAGGAATAACATCTTGTGCCTTTTCCTTCTCCTTTTATGCAAGGCATGACCCTGCAGATTTGCTCCTGCTAGATGAACTGAGGACTAACCTTCAGGCAGAGTGCTTTGGTAAAAGCATCGTGTTTCTCATTTCACTGCGTAATGACCAGGAGCCGAGAAGAGCTCTGTTTCCTGTCACTGCTCTGCATCATTCTCATTTACATTATTGGCAGCTGTTACTTTGCTAGAAGTTTAAATTATTTCGCGAACTCTAAACTGAGTTCAGATGTTTGTTTATTGGTGCTGCCTTAGGCTTCTGAAAACAGTCTTTTGTGTTCTCCCAGTCTTAAGAAAAGGCTCTTCTCAGAATCAGCCCTTCCTCCCTCCTTGCTCTTTTCTGGGAACCTGCTTCAGTCTTAACGAAGAAAATTAAATAAAGAGGACAAGGGGCTCAAAATTGGTCAGAAAGGAGCCTCCAGTGGTGAGACGACTTGAAACGGAAAGGAGTTGGGACCCAGCATCCTGCGTTTGTGCTTTGTTTTTGAAACTTCGAGTTAGTTGCATTAATGAATTAACCAGCAGCCTAGTAATGGAAAATGTTTCTCCTGTCCTGGAGGGGGAGCCAAATACTATAGATTTGTAACAGGAAGGCTGTTGATTCTGGCTTCATTGTTGGGCCAGTCATTTGTGAGCTGGTGGCCGGACCTCAGGCCACACACTTCTTCCGTGCAAATCTTCATGTATGGGAACTGCCTGGGTGTTGTTTCTGTTATCAGAGACTTGGCCAAGAAAAGATGGTGAGCCCTGCGTTTCATTATTTTCGTTTCTGTATGTCCCCTCAGCTCTGAGGATGGTGCAGGATGCCGGACCCGGTTTGGGGGCGGGGGCGGGGGGGGGAGGTGTTCAAATCGAGGAGCATATGTGAATATTTTGCTGTTAATGCTTTTTTCTGTGTCATTCTCTGTAGAGTTCCGGGAACGCGTCCTATCGCTGCTCTATGTCTTCCTCTGCGGATTTTTCCGATGAAGATGATTTCAGCCAGAAATCTGGCTCGGCATCCCCAGCTCCGGGAGACACCTTACCCTGGAATTTGCCTAAACATGAGAGATCGAAAAGAAAGATTCAAGGGGGCTCGGTGCTGGACCCTGCCGAGAGGGCAGTGCTTAGGATAGCGGGTAAGAGCATGGGGGAAGAGGATGGAGCTGGGGAGGAGAGTCACGGAAATTCACCCATCTGCTCCCTGGGGGCCATATCGGGAGCTGATGCTCTGTGCTCAAGGTGGGGGAGGAGGATGACCGTGTTTACTTTATGCCTGGTTTTACCGATAGAGCGACTTGCCCTGCCTGCTGGTGACTAAGCTGTTTGGCCCTGCCTTCTGGTTGGATGAATTGATTCCTTTGAAATACAAGGAAATATTTAGACATCTGCATTAAACTTTTCCTATTTACGTGCAGTAGCTATTACAAAGACCTGAAAGTATTAAGTCCAGTGATTTCTAGTGTGTTTGCTGGAAGGGGCAAGAGAGCACTCTTCATTTTCATTTTTGCCCAGGGGCACTGAGCTACGCAGATTTAACTCAAGTAGATTCACGGTTTTTGGTACCCAGGATTGCAGAGCGAATTCCAGTTAACTTGGGAATACGCTGTCACTTTTTTTTTTTTTTAATGTAGCATCTTTGTTAGCATCGTGTCCATAGCAGTTTTCTGTCCCTAGTTTAGCCATCATGCATTCCTGATTAATTAATATATGGGAGGTGCCAGTGTTTCTGTTCTGTGTTACTGGGTGTTCCCTTGCATTGGCTGTAAAAGCTGAACCAAAGTGATGGCTTGTTTTACCCAGCTGAAAGCTGAGAACACTGTGGAAATCAACCCTCTAACCCTGTAGTGCCTGTGTGTTTTGTGTGTGTATGTTCTGTGCATGAGAGTAGCTTCCAGGGGTGGTGGTTCTTCCATCCTCGCAATAATTATATTTTCCTTTTGGAAGTGGTAATGGGGCAGGATAGAGATGTCCTTGAGGACTCTCTTGCAAAGGCCAAAGGCCAGGTGTTTTTTGAGTTGGTTTCTGCAACCAGCAGTTCAGACCTCCTTTTCTCCCCCCTGCCCCACTCTTAACTCTGGGGAGCCCCCTTCCACAGTTTCTTTTGCTTCCCACTATAATGCAAAGTTGGTACTTTTTCTTCCTTCTAGGGGGCTAGAGGGGATCAGCCCAGATTCCAGCCATCAAGGCAGCTGAGATCCCCCCTCATGTCCCCCTAGTGAGATTTTCTGATTAAGGGAAAAACAAACAGGGCCTAGCCAGCTATTCTCCAGTCAGGGTTTCTGGGGCAACAGCCTTGAACTTCTGGCTTCTGTTGTGAGATGCTGGCAGGTCTCACCCAGGCCTTTGAGGAAGGCGGGGTGGAGTGAGAAAGGGGAGGAGGAGGGAGGATGGAGGATGGAGGATGGAGACTGTTTGGGAGCCAAGTGAGAGTGAGCAGGGGTGGCCTTGGACAGCCAGGGCAGACCTGGCTCTCACCACCCTCCTCGCCCTCCTGAGTACCAGAAAGTGTTTAGTCACTAAGGCCTGCCTCTTTGCCGTGTTGAGAACCCTCCCTCAGGCCTGAGGCTTAAGGGAGAGGAGGCGACACTGCCCATACCAGATGTTTGACTCAACAAAAAGGGAAGATAGGTGAAAGGAGGGTGTGTGTGAGAAGTTGTTGGGGCCTGGGGCATCAAAACAGGATGCCTGTGTTGTGCATTTTTATGAAAGGTAGACGGTGTTTCTGGCCTGAGAGTTTTGATAGTGCTCACAGAGATGGATATTTTACTTTTCGTAGTGAAGGTCATGAGAGAAGGACAGGCTAGGTGTTTGTCAGGGAGAATGAGATTATATAAATTGGGAAAGACTCTACCAGGCAGGAAGTCATGAGAAGTCGGTGGTACTGACCATCAGTGTACGCTGCAGGTGGGGCAGAATTGGAAGTTCTGGGGTTCTGATGGGATGCCGTGTACACACAGGTGCTGATGACGTTAGTAGACCTTGGGCTCCTTGAGAGCAGGGGCCACGTCTTATTATTGTAAAGTGTTCATGAGTTTGTGGGGATAGCTATAAAGTTGGTGGCGGTTGATGCACTTGAGACCCTAAAGCTATATACTTTTAAAATTATACTAATTCTTCAAAACCAAACCAAAACAAAATGAAACAACAAACAGTATGGAAGTATACTATTGTGTTTTAAATAAATATTGGTCAATTGGTTGTTTGCTACACAAATCAGAAACAATAATCATACATGGAGGATGGACTTGGGGGCCAGTCTACAAATATGTTTAATTCATCATGTGGCTAAATTATGAGATTCAGATATATTATGTATTAAATTGACTGGTGATCATACAGTGTGATGATAAGGGTTATCTAAGAGAATTTGGTGCCGTGGATAGTATGACAAAATACTATTAAAATTTTGACTTCTAATTTTATTACACATTTTCATACTCTTCCTGAATCTCAACCCCTCTCTGAAATTCATCCCTTTGAAGAGATGGAGTGAGGGTCAGAAATGGTGTGAGGATGTCTGTGGTGTTCATTACCTAGTAATAAAAGAGCTGAAAGTTTACTATTTTTTATTTGTTTTTAGGGACATAAAAATAAAATTGATTGTGTGAAAATGTCTGTCGAGTCAAAAAAACTATATGGTCTGTGGGATACCTTAATTTATCCACATTTAACAAATACTTATTGAGCCCCTGCGATAAAATAAAGAACAGCACAAAGTTCTGCCTTTAAAAAGGGATAATCTAATATGATAAATGGATGTGTTGTTAGACAATTATAACATGGTGTGAGAGATTAATTGTAATGTCAATAAGCACCTAATATTAAAAGAACCCAGAGGAGAGTCTAATTAACTTGGAGGGAAAAGGGAGGCATGGGAGGTTCCTGAAAGGTTTCTGAGAGGAAGTGCCACTTGAGCTGAGATTTAAAGAGCTTGATGGAATTAGGGTGTAAGGGAAGGCCACTTCAGAGGGATGGCACTATAAGAACAAAGGTAGGGAGATGTGTTTAAATAGCACCTGCAAGTACCGTAGGTATCTAAGTGTGGGATTTGGGAGGGAATGGCAGAAACTGTAAAGGTGCTTGTGTGCAATACTGAGACAATTAGATTATGCTGTAAGTGGTGGGAAACCACTGAAGATTTTTAAGCAGTTCAGTGACATAATTAGGTTTGCTTTCAGAAAGTCATACTGGTGATGGCATCACACATCTGACACTTCATATTTTTAAAAGTGCTTTTGCATTTATTGTAGTTTCATCATATTAAAATCTGAGACTAGTATATTTACTCCCGATCTTTCAGGGTCAATGTGAGAATAAAATGACAAAATGTAAGGAAGGGGCTTTGTAATACCCATTGTCTAAATGCCTTTTACATACAAACAATACAGATCTGCTGTTCTTAGCTACAGGATTTTGTAAGTTGGGCTTTTAATTGTAAATTACCTTAGTTTGTCAGTGATAATGCTATTTTAAAATAAGGGTTTTTGTCCTATTTGAATTCTTTAAAGGTGGAATTGAAGGATCAAAGCAGAGTCAGACTTTGAACTTAGGCAAACTTGGATTTTAATTCTTGCTCTGTCACTATGTAGTTTTGTTTACTTGGAAAATTTACTGAATTTTCTTAGCTCCAGTTTCTTTATCAAAGAGTCATGGTTGTGGTGATTAAATATAATAGTGAATGCAAAACATTCTGCAAACTCCTTGGTGCATGGAAAATGGTGTGGTTGCTCTTTTCTGTTAATAAGCACAATATGCTGTCTCCTTAGGCCTCCCAAGAACCCTATGAAGTAGTTACTATTTCTCCATTTTTTAGTTCAGAATCTGCTGAGGAAGGAAGATAAACTCTCCAAGGTCATAGGACTAGGAAGTAGTAGAGCTAGGATCTAAATTCAGGCAGTCTTGACTCCAGAGGCCAAGCTTTTTACTGCTAATGCTTTTGCTGCTTCTCTGTAGAATACACTATTATTATTAGCATATTGACCCAATATTCCCATTCCAAGAATGCATGGGGCAAAGGCTGTTTTTACAAACAACCTCAAATGCTGCCTCTGCTCATTTTGACTGGCTCCTTAAATGGACAGTTAAAATCACTATACGTGTGCCGACTATATTCATAAACCTGGATGCCACTGGGTGTTAGTGTCTGATGAAGACTCAGACTTGGCCTCAATGTCCTTACTCATTGCAAGGGAGACAAGACAGTTTTGAAAGATCTATGTTTATACATATGTGATCTGTAAATGGAATGAATCTTAGGGATCTCATTGCTAACCCTTTCATTTCAGGTGTCCCATATGATATCTGTTCGTTACTTAATGAACTAATGTGCACGTAAATGCCTATCGAGTTGCAAGAAAACTCTATTGATCTTAAAGACTTAGTGGGACAAGGGATTCAAACTCATTATAAACCAGTGGTCAGAATAGAAGAGAGATGTGATCTTGCTTTGTTTGGAGTAACAAAATTAGACCAATGGCTGAGGAGGAGTTAAGTGTTCCAATTCTAACTCAAATCAGTTTTTTCAAGAGTATACACTTTTTTCAAGAGAAACTCATCCTCCTCTAAACATTAATGAAAAGATTTCACAACACCCAATGAAAAGATTTCACAACACCCAATGCTAAAAAAGAAAAAAAATTATTGGGGCAAAAGGTCAGTATATATGAAAAGAGGAAATAGGGAAGAATTGGACAAGAGGTGAAGTTGATATAGGTCGTATGTTGAACAGTGAGCTGGTTTATCTAATAATAATAGTAGTAGTAGCACCTAAATATAGCACTTACTATAGCAACTTATGAGTTATCTCTATTGATGAAGAGAGGCTCAGAGAGGATAAGTAACTTGCTAATGTCACACAGTAAGGAGCCAGGATTCCATCGAAGGCAGCCTGACTTCAGTCTTTACTCGTAAACATATCCATTTACATTGGTTCCTCCAGTAAACCCTTAAACTCACTTTAGTATGTGATACAGGTACATCAAATTTAAGGAAACTGTGCCCATTTTACTCAATTTAATGGTTACTAGTACTATGTGGAATGAATAATAAGTAGAGAGAAGAAGGGAGGTGACAAAGTAATACGGGGCTTGTGTGAACTGACAGGCCCGCCGAGGAGCGCAGCAGCAGATGCCCAGGC